TAATTTCTAAATTTATTAATGGTCAATTTCAAATCAATCGTGCCAGTACCGAAGAACTGGCTACTGAGCTGATGATACCAACTTATATAACTATCATGCGTCCGAAATGCTTTTCTGGATTTACGATCATCAGGAACGCTCAAAGCCGATATTGGAAAGTCAATGATTATACATGTAAGAACCGAAACAGTTGAAGAGGACCTCAACACAATAGCCAATCCATCTTAGGTAAACGTTACAAAGAAGTTGAAACCTACATTTCTTAATAATTTATAAATGCATAAACGGACAACTTCAGAAAGGTTAGTTGTAAATTTTGTTCCAGACTATTGGAATTTTCGAAAAAGCTGCCACAAGATATGCTGCAAATTAAACCTGCATGCAAATGGTTACATTTAAGACCAACAAATCTTTGAGTCTCATGTTTTCGTTTAAGAAATTACACTTTTTGCCAATTTCATAAGTTCAAGAAGTGGTGTATTGTTATGGACTGGTTCCCTGTTCCTTATATGTGTGGCTCTGACCACAAAAACACTTACGACTAAGATTGGTCGTAAGTTTACTGAATTGTTCATGACTTACGATTAGTCTTAGTCGTAAGTTTTTTGTGAAACAGACTCCAAATACTGTATGTTGCAAGAGAGAGAACCAGTCTAAGTGTTTTACCGAAACATGTAACCATTGAATTGAAATTGTCGCAAATAACACTATACTGCCAACAACAGAGGAAACTCTTTATGTAAGTATATGCCTTTTTCACTGATTGGTTAAAAAAACAAACACGCAATTAAAGGTCGTCAGCTTGGAACTCCGTATCCTCTTCACTGTTTTAAAAATCACCTTTCTAGCTCACCTGGCCTAACAGGCCAAGTGAGCTTTTCTTATTAATTAGCTTCCGTCGTCCATCGTCGTCGTCTGTCGTCATCTGTTAACTTTTACAAAATCTTCTCTGAAACTACAGGGCCAAATTTAACGAAACTTGGCTACAATCATTATGGGGGTATTTAGTTTTAAAAATGTGATGGCTGACATGGCTAAAATAGAACATAGGGGTGAAATGCAACTTTTGCCTATTATTTTGAAAACCGCTATAAATAGAGAAAACCTGACGGGGCCAAAAGTGTTCAAAATGTTGAGTTATACCTATTTTTCATTTATGTCGAAACTGTCAGACGATCTCTTATAGGAGTTATTGCCCTTAAATGATGAATTTTACCATTTTTTTTTTTTAAATGTTTGCCTATTATCTTGAAAATTATAATAGATAGACCGAAATTTTATGTATCAAAAATGATTAGCAAGACAAAATCTACATATAAGTCAAAAGGTCGAAATCTTCAGTCAACTCCTTATTAGAGCTATTGACATGACAATGTTTACCAATTTAATGCTTAATATCTTAAAAACTATATTAGATAAATAGAAATTTTAAAGAGCGAAAATGACCAGTAAGTCAAGATCTACAAATAAGTCAACATGACCGAAATTGTTAGTCGACTCTTTATTGAAGTTATTGCCCTTTAATGACGATTTTTCCCATTTTTTGTATATTATCTTGAAAACTGTAATAGATAGAGAAAACTTTATATAGCACAAATGATCAGCAAGACAAGATCCACAAATAAGCCATAATGGCCAAAAATAGTCAGTCGACTCATTATTGGAGTTATTGCCCTTTAATGTTAATTTTTAACATTTTTTGCCTATTGTCTTGAAACCTATAATAGATAAAAAGAAACTTTTTGAAAGGAAAAATTATCAGCGGGATAAGATCTACAAATATGTCAACATGACTGAAATTGTCATTTAACTCTTAATAGAGTTATTCTCCTTTAATGATGATTTTTACTAAAAAGTGGCCATTGGTGAAGATGCAGGTGAGCAACACAGTCTCTTTAGAGCCTCTAGTTTTCTCACGTAGCTACACTTTTCTCGAGTTTCTTAATTTCCTTCTGGTTTGCGGATCAGGATTGCAACTGTGAGTTACCCCTTCACTTAAAATTATTCATTCAGATCTTTGAAATAGTTGTCAATATTAGCATTTACATGATATAAATGCATAACAGGAGGGATTGTGCCTGATATTCATATGATGAAGACATAATCTTTTAATCAGTTTAATTGAGGTCTGGAGCTGGCATGTCAGTAACTGCTAGTAGTCTGTTGTTATTTATGTATTATTGTCATTTTGTTTATTTTCTTTTGTTTCCTATTCTGACATCGGACTCGGACTTCTCTTATACTGAGTTTTACTGTACGAACTGTTGTGCGTTTGTTTTTTCTACATTGGCTAAAGGTATAGGGCTCGAAAAACATGTTTAACCCCGCCGCATTTTTGCGCCTGTCCCAAGTCAGGAGCCTCTGGCCTTTGTTAGTCTTGTATCATTTTTAATTTTAGTTTCCTGTGTATAATTTGGAGTTTAGTATGACGTGCATTATCACTGAACTAGTATATATATTTGTTTAGGGGCCAGCTGACGGACGCCTTCGGGTGCTGGAGTTTCTCGCTGCATTGAAGACCCATTGGTGGCCTTCGGCTGTTGTCTGCTCTATGGTCGGGTTGTTGTCTCTTTGACACATTCCCCATTTCCATTCTCAATTTTATTGATTGTTTTTCATCCAGAGAATGCTGTGCTGTGAGAATTACTCGAAGTCTGAAATCGTCAACCATCATATCTTTAGATCATCAGAGTTACATGTACTAGTACATGTAACAGCACGGTAATACTTTGATTATAATTGATGATACATGTATCACTTGGTCTCAATATAATCTTGGTTATATAAAAATAACAAGATGTGGTACGATTGCCAATTACTCTCAACCAGAGACCAAATGACGTAGTTAACAACTACAAATGTATAGGTCACCGTACGGCCTTCAACAATGAGAAAAACCCTTACCGCATAGTCAACAAAGGCCTCGAAATGACAAATGTAAAACAATTTAAACGAGAAAACTAACGCCCTGATTTATGTACAAAACAATAAACAAAAACAAATATGATATACAGCAACACAGGACAACCAATGAATTACATCTTCCTGGCTTGGGACAGGCACATACAGAATATGGCAGGGTTAACCATGTTTGCTCGCACCAAACCCTCCCCTAACCTTGACTGATTTTTTCTGAGGCAACAAGTTTGCTCTTTCATGTATTTTACAACATTGAAAAAAAAACCACTTTAATATATAAATAAAGAGATGTGGTATGATTTTCAATGAGACAACTATCCACCAAAGTTCAAATGAAGTGGATGTACTAAGCAATTAGAGGCAACCGTACCACGATCAACAATGAGAAAAACCCAATCCGTATAGTCGGATATTAAAGGCCCCGACATGACAAATACGAATAATTCAATTGAGAAAACTAACGGCCTTATTTATAACAAAATAATTTACGAAAAGCAAATATGACAGACATAAACCAACGACAACCACTTTAATGTCAACTTGCAAATATAAATACTTTATGCAGGGGGCGTATATATACTTTTTATACCAAAAAGAATTATAATTATTGTGTTATCTTCCCTAGTTGTGTGTCCTACAATTGTTTACTATCAACTTTAAATACGTTTTATATCCAAGAATGAAATACTTACATTATCGATAAAGTTGAAAAATTCAGCGCATTTCAAGTTCAGTAGTGTTAATCAGATGCCAGTTCATTTAGCCTGCAGCCTAGTATGTTTGTCCTCTATAAACCTGTATTTGAAACTGATGCATAGCTCTTTCAATTATTCTATAATAGTTTCTCAATGAAAGCTGTCCTACATTTTTTCATTTGTATTTTTGAGGATTTTGTTATCATGAAATATGCCATTTGTTCCCTGGACAAATGCAGAATGTAAACACACAGGGCTCGATACCCAAGTCTGATTTCCTGTGATAATTACGTAAATTGTAGAACAGGAAATTTGAATTAAAACGATTTATCAATTATCAAAAAAACAAAAAAAAACAAAAAAAAACATGCATATGATGCTTGATATCAACAAAAGCACACATATGGTACTTGATATTTACAAAAGCAAACATATGATACTTGATATCAACAAAAGCACACATATGATGCGTGAAATCAACAAAAGCACACATATAATAGTCTAGTCCCTTCATAGAAATCTAAAAACATATTGATAAAATTTACCCGACATTTCGTTGTAAAACACCAAACATTTAGACTATCATAGAGAATAACAAAGTAGTCATTCGATAAACGAAGAGGCAACACTAAATATAAAAGGAGAAGTTGGGGTATACGTCAACGAAACAGCAACCAAAGGACAACACTTACTAAAAACATCTAGACTGCAACAGTTTTCAACAGTAGACATGACTGTGTCCACACAATATCATCAATATGTCAAGTACTTTTTGTCATGTGTCTATAAAAGTTGTAAATAAGTTTGACAAAACAATCAAAGCGAAATGTCTTGTATTTTTAACATGATAAAACAAACAACTTTATATTATTTCTGGGACTATTATAACTAAATATATTATGTCCCAGATTAATTAAAAAAAACTTGAACTAAATATAACGGTTATTACTCATTTCTACACAATCTTAGTTGACAATTGTCTGTAAACAGTGATTCTCATAAAAATATAAATATCGTTTATTATTATTGCAAGAAACTACAGAGATTTCTGTATTTAATGGAAATAAATTCATTCAATTCGCACAAGAAATATTTCAGTAGAATTTTTATTAAAAATGTGTTTTTGTATAAAATATATAGCGTAACACTTTCGACCTCTGACTGTACTATATGAAAATCCCGGATAAAGCATGTATGTGTTTTAAGGACATATTAAGTTAATACAAACGCAGCTAAAGTCGTAGGACGTTGACTAGGAACTTCCGTCGTATAAATTCTTAATTCCTTTGATTAAAAATTACTTTGAATAAATTCATGATAATAGAAACAGTGCGATGAAATTCATAATTCTATTCCAAACTTTATTTCTTTTAATTCAAGGACAATATGTTAAACGATTCACCCGATCGACAGACAAAACAAATGTTGATGTAAGTATACGTATTATTTGAATGCATTGTTCAGGCGTAGGTCTGAAAAAAGAGGGGTTTTTTTGGGGGGGGGTCAAGTTTACATTTGTAGACTATTATGTGACTTAAATGATAAATACGAAACTCCCCTCCTGATACACCCATGCTGTAGTGATTCGAGTGTCTAAGTCAGTACTTAAAAAAATGATGCTTAGTATTAAACTTAAGTCCATAACATTTTAATTAAATAATAATATTTATATTTTTTCAAGATCAATTTTTTTCTTCTGTTAACTGTTTTTGCTAACATTGTAGTGCCGGTTGAGTAATTTATTTTGAAGAATGCATAGCTGTCTCGTTTTCCCAGGGATATATATATATATACATTTTAAGAAAAAAACAAATATAGGTAATGGACGTTATTTTGCCAATATAACTTTCAACCTAAACATAAGAAATCGTCGACACATATCACATTTTCAACATCATTAGCAAGCTTCAAAGTTAAAAACTGACAATTTCTAGACTCAAAAACTGTTATGGCAAGACAAGTAACACGCAGTCGTATGCTTTTAACAACATAACATTATTGTTAGAGCGAAACCAGAGTTAAAATCCGGAAAACATGTATTTACATTTATGTTTTTTTGTTTTTTGTGCTGTTACACCACTGTCCCAGGATAGGGTTAGGCTTTTGCGTCAACAAAGAAGTTAAACCCCGCCACATTCTGTATGTGTCTGTCCCGAGTCAGGTGCCTGTTATTCAGTGGTTGTCGTTTGTGTTGATGTGTAACATATTTGTTTTTCTTTATTGTTTTGTACATAAATCAGGCCGTTAGTTTCCTGGTTTAAATTGTTTTAAATTTGTCATTACGGAGCCTTTGTCGACTATACGGCATTGGTTTTGCTCATTGTTGGAGCCGCACGATGACCTATCCTTGTAAACTTCTATGTCGTTTTGGTTTCTGGGCTCATTGGCAATCATACCACATCTTCTTATTTCTATATTTCTCATTCTGATAGGATCTTGGTTTCATAAATGATGGTCTTGATGGGGTTGTAATACACAATAGAGAATAATGAGCCAAATCTACAGAAAATGGACAAAAAAAAGAGAAAAATAGGGAAAAAATAAAAAAAAAAAATAGGGTGCCAAAATATAAAGATTGAAGAAGTATAGCCAAAAAATAAAAAGAAGAATCGAGAAAAATTACCTAAAAAAATTGAAAAATATACGGAAATGAAGAACCCCCAATCAAGACCCTCAAAATAAAAATCCACGTGGTATGGTTCTGTGCAAATATAATTATAAAAAAAAGGATTTTGAATCGTGTTTAAGAAAAAAAAAACTATTCTGTTAAAGAAAACGAAAAATTTAGAAATTCAGCATTTTTTGTGATGTTTTTATTTTTAGTAACGGATATGTTTCACAAGAATAAATATGTTGCATTGAAAATTTTGATAGGATTATTCTTGTACACGTATTCTTATACACGTATTCTTCATATCGTAATGATCAATCTCAATGGTTTGTCCATTGTATATTAATCGCAATAATAAAAGGATGCAACATTTTTTGAATTTTCAGTTTAAAGAAAAACAATTTTTCAATTTTGAGTAATAAAAATTAAGTTATCTTTCAGTTAGAAAATTAAGAGGCGGTATATCAAAATAGAAAGAAAAAAACAAAAAGCGGAAGTAATTAACACCTTTTCAGTGACAAAATGAAATAATTTAATCTTAAACGGAAGAAGTGGTTATTAAATTCTTGTCATAGCAAAACATCCTACTTTTGTTTACGTCAGTACATCAAAATTTATTTAAAGGATATAATCCCCTGCATCCCCAGAATGCACTTCTAACGTTATTTATTTACTCATACATTAATCCTGTGCTTTTCTAGCGTTCTTTATCAAATTTGACCTTGTGTATATCCTATATCAATAATACAATGCATTAATTATAATGGTAAGAATTTAAAAAAAAAAAATAATCATAACAAAATACACATCAATGTTATTATTATTTAATTTACTCATTCATTGACGACATGCATGTCTTACTTACAAAACAAGTCATGACTTTTTTGTACTTAGAGCAAACATCAACCGCTGACAAGACGAAAGTATGGAAGACGGATGTATAGAAGTTTTCTTGATTCCGAATCCCCATAGTTCTATTGTATATTTGTCATATGTGCACTTTTGAAAATAAAATATGTTGCTAAGACTCAAGTGTGTACAGTCAAGCAATTTGAATCGATACCAGTTGTTAAAAAACTTTTTCATGTATTTTATTTATATTCGGCTGTCAAATTAATCTAGCTGCTATATATAAATAAGAAGATGTGGTATGAGTGCCAATGAGACAACTATCCATTCAAGTCACAAGGTATAAAAGTAAACAATTATAGGTCAAAGTGCGGCCTTCAACACGGAGCATTGACTTACACCGAACAGCAAGCTATAGAGGACCCCAAAAGACTAGTGTAAAATAATTCAAACAGAAAAACCGACGGCCTAATCAATATAAAAATTGAGAAACGAGAAACACCAACAAACGACAACCACTGAACAACAGGTCCTGGGTTAGGACAGGTGCATAAAAATGCAGCGGGTTTAAACGTTTTAACAGGCGCCAACCTTCACCCTAACATGAAACAGTGGTATAACATTACAACATAAAAAGACACACAATGAAATATCAATTGAAATGGCTTAACTCGACCAAAAAGACAATACACATAAACAAGAAAATATACACTGAACGAAGTTTGATCTATGACATAATATAATAAAAAAAAATGTTTCAATGTCAAAAAGACAACTTTAACATAGGACAAAATGACGTTAAATAAAGTAGCGTACACGGGTAAATTTAAATACAATAATTTTGTTGTTAGTACAGAAACATTTTTTACAAAATAAATGTGTTGTTCATAGTATGACTACAGAAGTGATTTTTGTTCCGTCATACTAAATACTTATCAAACGTGGTACATATTAAAAAAGTAAGACGAGATATAACATAAACAAGTAAACATTGAATAACAGAAATGGAGTACAAATTGTGTCCTCAAGTCAAATTAACACGAAAGTACGATTTGAGAGTACTCGCAGTTACTGAAAGCTAGTTAAAAGCCAAAAAACAATTAATAATAAAAAATCATGCATCAGAGACTAAAACCAATTTAAACACATCCCAGGCGGGATTTAGTGTTTTAACGCCATGGACAGTCAAAGAACACATGACTTGTGCAATGCCAAAATAAAAGTAACGACAGGCAGTAGGATAGTTTAGGATTTAACCTTATAATAAATATGTATGATGATAAAACAATTTCTAAATAGAAAATAAACGTGGATGTGTCTATATACATCCAAAAAAACATTCGTAACGAATACAAATTTGGTTATGTTTTAATTATATGTTTACCCTTTTATCGTCAAATAAGATTGATGCACCACTTGATACGAAGTTGCCAACCAGAATGGTAGCTTCCCTTGAGGCAATAAAACAACTGCCTCACTTTTTTAACCAACCAAAATAAACTTAGACTTCTCTTATTTTTACACAAGTATTTTGATTCTAAACATATTAAGGCAACTTTTTAAAAAAACGAGTTAACGGGTACAAATTTCCTGATAGCAAAGGATACATACCTAATATATACCACTAAAAAAAGAAGTTCATTTAAACTGAAATCATAAAGATGCCGCTTTTCATTTAAAGAACTTTGTTACGTTTTAAAACTGTGGCGGATCCGCGGGGGATCCCTTTCCCCTCCCTTTGATCGCCAATAAATTTATCATATCATGTTTTTCACGATAAAATCGTCTAAAAGGATTTCGACTCGCTTTGCTCGGCGGTATATTATCCGTTTTATGGAATTACTCCCACCTTTCAAAAATTCTCGATCCGCCCCTGAGTTTGGTCGCCGTATTGTTTGTCGCATGCATACTTCATATAATAGTAGATGCTTTTGAAAATATGCGAATGAATCTACGGTAGCTGCATTATCCGTTTATCTCACTTTCCCCTATATATAAACATTATCTCTTCAGGCACCTGCATATGATTTATATATCTCACATTTTCAAAATCAGCAACTTGTTTTTCTCATTAAATTTTGTGATATAGATTTGCTGTTCAAATGCAGCTTCTGAGCCAAGGGTTCTTAATTGTAACTTTGAAGTCAGCACTTTTTAGACTATTTGTCTCGCATATGGAAAGGACTCACTATACAAATCCTTACATGTGGCAAAGGATATTTTAATTGTCGTAGCCACAACCCCGTCTTCTTATTTATGTTATGACATTCCCGAATAACAATTATATTCCGGAATTTACTCACCTTGAGCTAAACGATGGATATCATTAGTGGAGCAGAAACTGCCTACCGTGCAATGCCAGTTTAGTCCTATTTTTTTTGTTGTGGTACATTTGCATGTTGTTCATTTTTTTTCGTGTACTGTTTGGTTGATAATTACTAAGCTGTTCCGCATCGGTTTTATCTTGGTCATGTTTTTTTTTTATTTTATTTTTTTAGACTAAAGGTTTTTGATTGTCACTCAGTATCGTCCTTTTTTTCATGTTTTATATATACGGCTCTTTGTTTCCACATAATTTCACTTCAGTAAACAGCTCAATGATATCCCTTTTTTTAAAAGACACAAATATGAAGCTTCTGAAAGTCGGCTTACCAATAGGCCAAAGACACGTTACCGACAACTGCTGTGCACATTTAAATGCAACATAATGCGTATTGATGAAAAATATTATTTTGCGATTAAAATTCCTGAAACCTATTTTTTTATATTGAAGATCTATTGTAAGACTAGGCCTGTCCAACTGGCAAAAGAAAAGAAAAACAAATATGACACCAGAACATTCCAACCGCATCTATCTGAGATTTTTGCTATTGTTTATGTCTGAAAAAAACACCTTTTAAATAATAATTCTTGCACAACTATTTAACATATCGTTATCCAGTATAAAACTTACGCCAAGCCGGCGTATGGTATCAAAGCATGGCAACCCGTCCGATAGTAAAACCCATATCGAAGGGTGGTGTCTGCTTGGCTTTGTGGAATGTCACTATCAATCTGCAAATACTTCCGGTCAGAGTGAGGCCATTTCATTCAAAACCTACTTACTGGATTTATTGATAATTTGTTCTAGTCATAAATATGCTCGGAATGTTTGCGGCTAGACGTCAAGCAAACTTTCAACATCGTCTGTGTTCAATAAACCTCGAGCATCAACGAAGATACATTAATTGCCGAAATGCGCTTCTGGTGCAGTAAAATTGGTATCGTTAATGTTTTTATATTTACCAAGTTTGTCGGATATCATTGTATCGGGGCAATATTGCCCAAGCAAAGTGCCAAGTTAATTACAATCACTAACGCCTGTCTTTTTTCGCCTACTTTATTCCTCCCATCTCCAGTTTTTCTAATATCATTTTCGAGTTATATAATTTGTCCACAGAAGATGTTAAAAAATTTATTATGTACTATAGGTGAAATGAAATCTGTGGTAGCTATATGGTTCCTATCGTTCTATAAAATCATGAAAATTTGTTTTTCTACATTTCAGGACTTTTTACAAAGATTTGGATATATGCCAAGATTGCGATCTTTAAAAACTTCAAATGCACCCGACGAATCGACAAGTAATGCGATAAGGTATGATTTCCTTCTTAGCAAAAACACAAACGAAAAAAACACTCATTGGCAATTTATAGAAAACTTATCAATGCATTTACTTTATTAAACGGATGTGCCAGTGTCCATTGTTAATCTGTATTATGAATATAATATTAATGATAATAATAATAAGAAGAAGAATGATAACAATTTTAGTCTTGGTAATAATACACCTGTACAGTGCATATTTATAATTTAAAAACGCCTTTTACGAAAAGTTTAATGTAAAGACCGGACTGTTGTCTAAAGTTAACTCGTATAATTACGACCATGTATTCGTGTTTGAATGGTAAATATTACATGCATATCAGGACTAGCACATATTGATAGTATATGAATAGTAACCCTGTTTTGTACATGCAGTAGACCTCAGTTGGATGTTTTATGTGCTAATTCACAAGGTAACAATCAGCAGAAAGAAATTTAAAACTACCAAGACACATTATTCTAACTTTGAAATAGCAATGTTAATGCTTAGGTTTGAACCGACTAAGGATTGAATACACAAATCATGAGAGATTACATCAGACTATAAAAATCTTTACAAACACAAGTTTTAGGACACGTTTGTACCAGGGATACAACAATCCGATACCGAATCCGTAAAAGAAATAGATTTCGAGATATAACATCACGAGCGAAAAATATAAAACAAAAGACCATTAATACTGGAACATAACAGAAAGCTACATAAAAGGTACACATCTCTACTAAAACATAGGTGTCTGACACACGATATGGTAAGCAATATCTGCTCCATATATGGCACAAGACAGGAAAAACAGTGTCTGCTCGACAAATGACACACGATAGGGTAAGCAGTGTTTGCTCCATAAATGGAACACAACAAGGTAAGCAGTGTCTGCACCATAAATATGATACACGACAGGATAAGCGGGGTCTGTTCCAAATACGACACACGGCAGGGTAAGCGGGGTCTGCTCCAAATATGGCACACGACAGGGTAAGCAGGGTTTTCTTCCTAAATGACACACGACAAGGTAAGCGGAGTCTGCTCCATATATGGCACACGACAGGGTAAGCGGGATCTGCTCAACATATGACACAGGGTCGGGCAAGCAATGTCAGCCAGTCCATATATGGCACACGATCGGCTAAATAATGCATTATCCAAATATGGCACACGACGAGGTAAGCAGTTTCTACTCAATATATAGCACACAAAAAAAGAGTGCAATTGCATATACCACTAACACAATCGGACATACAATCCAACAACCAAATCATAATGTAAATCGTAAACCGTCGAAATCATTTATTTCAACGCTTAGCTTTAGAATGACCAGAACTATGCAAGCTTTTTTTTAGAAAAAAATGGTCGGAGTCATCATTTCGTCGGTTTGAAAAAAAAATAAATAACGTTCATTATGTCTCTAGAGGTATCAATATATGTTAAACGAACTTGAGTAAGTTATGGTGTTTAAATGGTTGCTATGACACTGGTGATAATTGTAATATAATGTGCGTGGAAAATTATCTATTATAATGCAAGAATCTGCAGATTACTGTATACCAAAATGAGTCAAGATATGGTGATCTTTTTAATATAATGTACATTAAAAGAATATTGCTTCCTAATATCTTTCTTTTTTAAAAATACATTTTCAAATATCAACAGAACCTTTCAAGAATATAATCATCTGCCAGTAACCGGTGAATTGGACAACAAAACAGTGAAACTCATGAATACTCCAAGGTGTGGAATGCAAGACAAACCTACACCACACGGAATGCCACTGGCATTTTCAGGTATAATGATGTGTTTTACATTAACTTTCCTGCTCCAAAAGCTCGTATTATTTTTCTTGTGAATGCTAATTTGGATAATAAAAAAACAAATGTCGATTCGTCTGTCATTATTGTCGGGTTCGTCAGGAAGGTATTTACAAAATGGAAATGAATGGGCAAAACAAGAATTTAATCAATCATAGAAAAAAATGTGGGGAGAGGGGGTAAATAATTGATAACAATGTGGTGATAAAATAAAAGGAATGGTCTAAAAAAACCTAGGTTTTCACGCAAAAATATACACGCCGTAATTTTGGTTAATTATCGTTCATGTCTGTTGATATCACTCCGTTCCAAATGTTATTGTATGGGGAATATGTCTATTCACCGATTCAAATGTTAATTAGATAGATTTTTTTTCTATTGAAAAGCTGATTTTAGCAGATACATGCTATTATGGTTATATTACGCTCTATATCGTCACGAGTCTATACACAACACAACAACATTCCAAATAACAAAAAAACATTGAGCCAAATATATACGACAACAACTAAGAAGTGATGTGTTTCAAAATTTTTTAAATAGGAAAATGTTTCTTCAGTATCGATGTAGAAAGACTTCATTCATATATACTAAACGCTTCAGAATACAATACACTAAATATATGTGATTAACTGCAAGTTACAAAAGTTGAAGGTTCTGGTACAAAAATGTACCCGTAAAACAACTCTCAATATTCGAGTCAATTTAGATTCATCCCGATTCATCACATCTAACTTTCGGGTCGTTACTGTGTTTTCCTGTATTGTTTGCGATAACTTTGTCTAATCGATATGTAAGTTATGTTTGTTTTGTTGTTGTTTCTTTTTTATCTTATTGCAATTTTAGATGATACTAATACACTATGATTAATTTCTTTTGAAAAGGTATAATAGTTTTTTAAATTGATTATTTTTTATGCCTACCTTCATTTTATTAAATAATACGGTTGAATTGGTATCCTTTATCGTACATGTATGTATGCTACTCAAGATTGATCAACTCAGTTTCTGACTGAAAATAAAGTAAAACAAAATTTCGTTTTATCTTTCAAATTTGTGTTTTCTTAACCTTCCTTTTTTTTTTTATTTAAAAGTACTGCAATTACGTTGGTTAACTTTCGCACAGCTACACTGATCGCAAACTTTGAGGGAAGGGGTCAAATTTAAAAGTCACAGTTGTAAAACAAATCCTGCACATGGTCTTGTTACAAATGTACAAAATTGAATCTGTTGAATCTGATGGCATAATTGATTACATATGAACAGAAACTAGCTAATCTTTTTTATTTTTGTATTCTTCTTTTAATCCTCAAAATTTGAACCCGCTCCCGCCCCATTTAATCTCAATGGAAGTATTGTAAAATTGTTTTGAATAGTATACGTATCAAAATATTATTTACAGCTGGCAACGGAGATTGGGGTAAAAAAGTCCTTACGTTCAAAATTTCAAAAGGCAGTACGAAGTTGACTTTAGATGCGGTTAGGTAAGTAATGTATACTATTGAAAACATTGTAAATAATTTCATTTATTAAGTATTTGAAATCAGTGGTCATTTCGAGTTCCGCTATCCCAAAGATCTGTTGGTTTCAAAGTCTATTTAATTTTCAGCACGGACTCCCAATTAAAAAAGGACATTTACATTGTCTTTTTTTCATTATATATATAAATATATTATTATTCAATATATTTTCGATTTTCAAAACACTTATATTTTTAGCGTAAACTGGCATTAGGGATTAAGACAAATCTAGTCACATGCAAGAACTTGGTTTCATAGACAATATTCGTATATTTAGAAACCGAAATAAATGCGGTGTTCGCCGAGCACTGGTACATTTCATATTTTCCTAAAATGTACCAATATTGTTTTAATCATGCAATTTAATATCTAGACTACGCTTTAACGTATAGTTTTTGTTTTACTACCCAATCTTTGAATTAATTTTTTTAATGAAATCAACATGACTTAAACGCGGACCGTAATTAGAACCCAAACATGAATTGTGACGTTAACAGAAATTTGAATACAACCGGTCGCTCACAACAGAAGCGGGATACTATAAACGTACACTTATAGTAAAACGGTCGAGTTCATTGTAAGAACGTTAACTTTATACAATTCATATATATGTTGTACATAACTGACATTTAGTTGTTTCGACTGTGACCTTAAATCTTTAGTGAATAAGAAGAGATCGCAATAACAATTTTGTTTTACAACTTCACGACACCAACTGATGGTATAAAGTTATGAAATTGTTTGATTTTTTATTTTCTTTTTGAAGCAATTACCGGCTATCCTCACTGATCGATTTTTATATGATTGCAATATTATCTATAAGATGGGTCTTTCTTTTTTATGAGAAAAACACGACGTGTGATTTTTATTGTAGATATTTCGGTTTAGGTTAATTTGCTTCAGTTTGGCTTAGAAACACACTTTTAGATTTCCAGCAATGGATATTTTATGAGGTCGTCTTACGAAACCTATTTCTACTTATAGGCAAACTATAGGAAACGCTGTAAAAGTATGGACAGATGTAGCAGATATAACTATAACGGAGATTACAGGAGCCCCTGCTGCTGACATAGATATTCGGTTTGAAGTTGGTGCCCATGGAGACGGATTTCCATTTGATGGCCCAGGCATGTATTTATTTATTTAGGGGCCGGCTAAGGCCCACCTCCGGGTGCGGGATTTTCACGCTGCATCAAGACCCATGATTGGTGGCCTTCGGTTGTTATCTGCTCTATGGTCGGGTTGCTGTCTCTTTGACATATTCCCCATTTCTATTCTCAGTTTTATTTCACTTTTGAACCAGATTTCGAAAACATGAAGTTTGTTGATGTACGGATCGCGGCCGTACTGGCGGATGCCAAGCAGTGTCCATGCAGTAACTAGAAAACGCTTTGACGATTTTTTTTCTTCAAATTAAGATACATGTGTATGTTTTTCCTGTGTCTTAATGAAGGTCAGGTATAATTTTCACGATTTTAGTTGATATTGTTGTTCAGTTAAGTAGCGAAAAAATGTTACTTAGAGCGTTGTGGGTGTAATAACTTGAAATTGATTGACGTAATCTTTTTGAATTTAGATTATGTTATTTCCTGGGTCTAAATGAAGCCAATTTCGATTTTCACGACTTTCAGTTTTATTGTTGAAGATCTTTAAGTAGCGTAAAGTGATACTTAAAACGTCGTCCGTGACATAACTTGAAAAGGCTTTGTTCATTGTTGAAGGCCGTACGGTGACCTATAGTTGTTAATTTCTGAGTCATTTGGTCTCTTGTGGAGAGTTGTCTCATTGGCAATCATACCACAACTTTTTTTTTTTTTTTTAGATGAAAGTCTTTTGTATCTTTGATGAAACAAGAAAACAACTGTTTGAAAATGGGTTTCTTGAAAGTTATTGGAGTAACACCAATATTATATGGTTACATATTAAATAAGATTATGATCTCATAAACATATTTGTGTCATTAATTGGCTACCCACCCCTGATGAAGAAATGAGTGTGTACTCATATACTCTTTTAAATTCTAATATTATGTCACTTATGTTATAAATAGGATGTCAAGATTGATTTTGGCCTATCATTGATTTATGAACCCTACAAATGTTCATTTATTTATTTACTTGATCCTGTTTTGGGGTCCAGATTTGCAAATATCACTTCATCAAGAAAATACGATTTGCTGCCAATCTTTCAGCCTCTTGTTTTGTTATGAGACGACCATATTATTTGATATTATTGGAGGTGCAGGCAGACTTTTCCAAACAAATATTCATTTCAATTATTGCGAGCAGAGATAATTTTTTGTTTTCAGTCAATTCATTTACGTCTATTTCAAATAGTTTGTAATAGTTATTTTTCAAGTTGCTTTTTGAATGACTTTTTTGTTATCGCCAGTTAGTTAATAAGTTAAATTCAACTAAATCATCGAATGAAATTGGGGTTGAGACTAAAATGTTTGAATTACAGTTTATGTTGAGGTCAAACATTACGCAGCCTAGTATTTACCTTTCTTTTAATTACAACCCCTCACGCAAAATGAAATGACCATGCGGGAAAGGTTCATCACTGTATCACCCAATTAGGGGTCAAACAAGATTTTATAATAAGTAATATATTGGGTTAAAGGTATGCAAAGGGTACATATGTACCACATGCAGTAGTCTTTAATTGGAAATATCAAATTATCAACAAAAAAAAGAAACAATCGAAATACGATAATGGCGATATAATTTCATCTACTGACAAAAATAAAAGTATTTGTACAATGAAGTAATGCAGCGTATATTTTTCAACAAGTATATTACAAGTCAAAATATTATATACGTTTTGTTATTAGAAACACTACATCTCTAAATGACAAAGCGATAAACGAAATTGTGCGAAATTTATCGTCAGATATCACATTTTTAGATCCGATATCAAAATACGAAAAGACTCAAAAAATCATTTGAATATATCTAAAATTTATTCAGGAGGAATTATCACACATGCTTGGTATCCACCTGATGGGAGACTCCATTTTGACGATGCTGAGGCTTGGGATGTTGGTGGAAATGGCGCAAATCTTTTCCCAATCTGCGCACATGCAATAGGACATATTTTAGGATTGGGTCATTCAAATGTTCCAGGATCTATGATGTATCCATGGGACCCTGCTACGGGAAATCCAGCTGCCACTCTTTCACCAGACGATCTTGCAGGAATACAAAGCTCATTCGGTACTGTTCTTTTAACTGCGCATATATGTATATTCATATGTATACATAATACCTCGTTTCTGGGTTTTTTATAACGATGAACATGCATCTCTATTTATCGATCAACTGTTTCTTAGTACTGTTATATTTTTTTTTCTAAATTGACAATTTGCATATAAGCAAAAGGGAGGTTCGTGTAATAGCTCTAATCTGCAGAGGGATCCCAATCCCAATCCCGAGAAGGAGTTAATGAATAGTTTGTAATGGTTTGTAACGGAGGAATTTGCGTGAATCGGATCAAGATTTTACTGACTGCCCGTTACAAACTTTGCATTAATTGCTAGCGATCTTCGGGATTCGGATTCATCCGCGGTTTTGAATCGGGAAACCCGGCGTGGTACTGCAGCTTAAAGCTACTCGAACAAAAAAGTACATTGGACAAGTGACCGGACTGCAGTTTATCGTGCAGTATGTTGTAGTACTTACTTAATTACTGGTTATGGATAAACAAAATATGCGATTTGTTTTTGGTGGAATATACCATTTTTGTAACGTTCATAATAATTTTTATAATTAACAGAAATATGTTGTTGTTTGTTTAAGCAATGCATTTGTGTTTAATTATATTTCTATTAATACAAAAAAGGACCAGAAGTTCCGACTACAACCCAGTTACTCTGAAATTACTTGACAAAAAAGTATACCACTAACATTTTAAGAGAATGCAGGTTATAGAAATGAACCGGAAAACCATGTGAATTTACAAATTAACCAGTAGACAAACTCCAAAAAATAATACATGGAGGCAAATTTGATCTCCGTCAAGAAATCATGATCAGATATGACACCAATCAATATAAGATCAAACAAAAATATGAAAATGATATACCTACATGTAAGAGATCTGCTGGTACCAGGTACGATGACAGGAAATCATGATACACGTCCAAGAAAGGACCGGAGCTTATAAACTCGGCAATATCCGGAGAGCCGACAACCTTGCTTCGGAGGTTGGCTTTACTTTAATTTGTTGATATGAAACGATAATATGTCAACCCAAAAGTTATGAATGCTTTTTCGGATGTAAAATATAATTTTTGTGTATTTATAACTATAATCAATACACTTATTTTTTGTTTGTCTTGTAATGAATTGTGTGTTGTTGTTTGTTTTTTTTATTTTAATTATTTTTCTATTTATACAAAATAGGAACAACTCCGGTCGACCCAATTACTCAAAACTTACTTGATGCAAATGATCTACAAAGAAGACCGTCGGGACTTGTTGGAAAACCAGCTGTTTGTTATATGTCATTTCAAGCTGCAACTAAATGTAATGACACTATATAAGTACTTACACGAATATGTACTACTAGTATCTAGAGTTGGGAGTGTTGATCTTGAATGCTAAATATCAAAATTTGTTAATTTCCTAATTTTTCTGTGGTACATTGTAAAAAAAAATTACATACTATCCCATAGCCGAAAACAAACCCAAAAGACAACATAAAAAATGCAAAAACAGAGAAAAAGAAATGTGAAAGAGTAAAAAGAAAATTATAATTGATTGTTTCGTTTATGACATAGCACGATTATTTAAAACAATATACTATGATGTACACTGTTGGAAATACCAGATTTATTTGTACTCGCTACGAATCAAGAGAAAAGCTCGGCGGGCCTCACTTTTCATACTGTTTTAATGCTCATACAAATACATTTGATATATTTCCGACAATGTACATAATTATATTATAAAGCACATTGAACATAAATTACCAAAAACAGTTTATTTGTTTAGGGGCCAGCTGAAGGACGCCTGCGGGTGCGGGAGTTTCTCGCTGCATTGAAGACCCATTGGTGGCCTTCAGCTGTTGTCTGCTCTATGGTCGGGTTGTTGTCTCTTTGACACATTCCCCATTTCCATTCTCAATTTTAATATATTGTAATTATATGTTATCTTACCATTTTTTTCTTAAAATGTCCTGTACCAAGTCAGGAAAATGGCCATTGTTATATTATAGTTCGTTTCTGTGTGTGTTACATTTTAATGTTGTGTTTTTGTTGTGTCGTTGTTCTCCTCTTATATTTGATGCGTTTCCCTCAGTTTTAGTTTCTAACCCGGATTTGTTTTTATCTCTATCGATTTATGAGTTTCGAACAGCGGTATACTACTGTTGCCTTTATTTACAGCCCCAGCAATGGATATGACTATAGCTTTTGTAGAAGATGTATATGTATTGATAATTGATGACGATATTGGCTTACGAAGAATTACAAGAACAGAATCGGTATTTTCTGGGATCTTCTATAATCCTGATGCTGCTTTCACTAACCCCAAAACGTCATACACATATTTTATAAAAGGTAAACGTCATACACATATTTCATAAAAGGTAAACTTCATACACATATTTCATAAAAGGTAAACGTCATACACACATTTCATAAAAGGTAAACGTCATACACATATTTCATAAAAGGTATCGTTATATATCAATTCTTCTGCATAATTTAATGATTTGGACTCATGAAATTATTAAACGTGTTGTTTTCAATTTTTTATTGGTTGAGCTTCTTTCAAGTATCAGGTTTGCTTAATATTCAATGGCAAAAAAGTTTATTCCGGAAAAAGACAAATCTAGCAATTATACATTTTGTGCATGTTTAATCTGTTAAGTTAAAGTTGGTCGTTGAAGATGAATGCTAAGACTTTAGATAAGACTGTAATTCATATGAAGTTATTTTTGGAAGAGCAAAAATCTTGCAATAGGTTACCTCGGGAAACCTCAAGGAGTTGTCGCAATGTCGTTTTTTAATCTACAGACAGCGTGTCACTTCCGGATCACATCCCGATTCCTACAGAACGTAGCTGCTAATTTAAACATCACTCATAATCAAACGAAAACGTGTTTGGGAGGGGGTCCGTGCCAATCAGTCAATTTATTGTAAAGTACACATTATAAATCATTATTACATGTATATTCGGTAAAGATGTCATAACAACTGCATATGGCAAATTTATAAAATAAAAACAATATAATTCAGTTATTGTAGTTTATGTAAAAATAAGGAGATGTTGAATGATTTTCAAGGAGAAAACTATTATTGATTCTATAGACAATTTTGATACATTGTGACTGTAACAGAAACAAACACTTTAATTCTGTATGTTGCTTGTTTGTTTGTTGGTTCGTTTGTTTTGTTTTTGTTTTTGTTTTTGTTTTTTTTTTGCTTGGTTTGTTTTTTTTTTTATTGTTTTTGGGGAGGGCATCAGATTATAAATCGAATGACATCTGCGACAAATGAATAAGTTGGTATCTGGGAGTTAATATATATCTTTAATTCCGGTCGGAAGCTGTTCAAGATTAACTTTTATACTTTGGTTACACTGCTCTTCAAGTACACATACACATTGGATTGTTCCACTGCGAACGTTTAGGAGAGTTGAATGTTTGGAAATTACCCTGGTGCGAGGTGAATTTAAGGAAATTTTTCGTATTTTTTTTTTTTGTGTCAAGGAAAGTATATCTATGAATTTGATTCTAATCTGGACTTTTAGAAAATTGAATGATTTCAATATAATCGTGGTGTGTAGTGAGTTTAAGGACTTTTGTATTTCTCTTGTACAGGAAAGTATATCTATGAATTTGATTATAACCTGGATCCTGTTTCGAGAAATATGATAACAGACGATTTTCCGGAAGATCCACATGCTGCGTATGCAAGAAGTGAAAATGAAATATATGTTTTTGGTGTAAGTAAAATTTATTTAATTCGGACAGATTAAGATGCATAGATATCTTGTTAACGTGTTAAATGTATGTCCTTAAAATACCTGCTTTTTCAAGTTGTCAGTACGGTGAATTCCAGCCATTTGTTACAATTTAATTCCCTTAAAAAATCAATGCAAAATTAAAAACAGAAAAAGGTACAAAGTGTATAGCTACATACATGTATATATTTTTGATTAAATCAAAATGAACTTAAAGGTAATAATATTTAGATAGGTTTTTTCTATTGGCTCAACGTCCAGTGGCGCATATTAGTCGCGACGATCATGATCAAAGATATGAGAACAATTTTTATAGCTGTATTTTTTTTTTAGATTTTTAGCTATATTTTCTCGTATTCTTTATATTTCAGCACCCTATTATTCATGAACCTTTATTTCCTTTTGCCTATTTTTCATAATTCAACTAACAGTACAGTCCATGAATGTTATTTCCCGCCGTGGAGCCATTTCAAGATGGTACGATATAAGAGTTAGCTAGATTATTCTTTGTTTACTTTTCTGTATTATCACGATTATTATAGGCAACTAAAGTATGGAAGTTAGACTTACCAACAAAAAGCGTGGTTCCTGGATCAGAGGCTCTTATCGCGGACGCGTTCAGAGGGGTACCAGACGGCATTGACGCAGCACTTTACGATAAACCTAACACAGTTTATTTCTTCAAAGAACTAAGGTGAGTTTCACGTGTTCCTGTAGACAATGTTTTATGTAAGAGGTAAAATATATCAAAGATAGCTATGGAAAGCTTCCACATAAAAACAAGTTGCACTGGCAGAAAAATGCTCTCTAAATATCATAACCTCACTATAAGTATTTATTATGGTAAATAGGAAGTTGATACAAAATGAATTTGAAAATGCATCATGCACACGGTACATCATGCTCACGGTACATCATGCACACGGTACATCATGATCACAGAAAAGCTTAGTATGAAAACGGTTATCATATATATATACCTATGATAAAAGGACCACAAATAAAACTCAAGAAAGGTAATGATTCTGCTTACAGTGGTACAAGATTTCAAGTGGAAGGACACGTAAGTGCATGTAAGGATTTTTGATTTTTATTTTAATATGGCTTTACTTAAGTCTTTTATATTCCAATAAACCAAGTGGTACACGTACGTGACATCACAATACAACTTTCATTTTGAATGACGCAGGCGATCAAAATAGACATTTGTCAGTTGCTAAGAGAAATTAGATTTAAACTCTTTTAAAAGGGAAATTGTATAGGACACCTTTTGCATTTGTGTATATTTAATCTTGAACGGTTTGTTTCCTAGAACGTTTCTGCTTCATTCTTATTGGTCTGTTTAATAAGATTTTTCTATTAGAAATGAAATGGTTTTTTCGTGCCATGTTGTACCAATTGGGTATAACACTGCTATATATAAAGTTTAAAGGTAAAATAGAATGAGCACAGAGTTTGTCTGAACGAAACAAAAACAATAAAAAAAAATCATCATAGATGGTATTATAGGCTTATAATTTTGTACGCAAGACGGGTGTTCCGTCTACGAAGATTTTATTAGTTACGTTCGAATCAAGAAAGTTAAAAGTCCAAATCAAGAACGAAGTTGCAGAAAATTGTGTACCAAAAAATTCGGAAATTAAGGATTTTGCCAGAAACAGCTAACTTAGTAAAGGTAATCTACTCCTGGGGTAGAAAATCCGTAAAGTTTTTGAACGAATTGTTTCTTAAAAACATGATCGAAATATTTGTTCTTCACGTTTAAATACTATACTGTAGATTTTATAATGGATATCAGGTAATAAATAATGAATAATCAAATGAAGTAAAAATATAAACGCCGAGATATTACGTACTAGAGTACGAAATCCCCTACGAGATATTACAACATGTACGTACTAGAGTAC